TGTCTTATTCAATTCCATCACACTTTGCTTGTTTTGCTTGGTGTTGATAGGATGACATGACCGAATATGAGAGAAGAAATGGAAGAAAATCCTTTTGCAGACATAGATGTGTACACTGAGGATAAAAATTCGCTTGTACCTCCGGTTGTTGGTGCTGCAACTTTCAAGGTGGAACATGGTTTAATCCTAATGCTAAAAGCGAAGGGGTTTTTCAGGAATTCCACTGATGATAATCCGACACAACATCTTAGAAACTTCTTGGGTGCGTGTGCTATGCACAAGCAGAACAATGTCTCAGATGATTCCCTAAGATTGAGGGTGTTCAAGTACTCACTAGCTGGGGACGCAAGGAAATGGCTTCAAAATATGCCACCAAATTCCATTCATTCTTGGTCTGAACTTGTCCGAGCATTCTTAGCTAAATGGTTCCCGCAAAGCAGGAAATCTGAGCTCCGGTTTAAAATTTTCTTTTTCAAGCAACTACCGGGAGAACATATACATGAGGCATGAGAGAGATTCAAGTTATATTTGGTGAGGTTGCCTAATCATGGTTTTCCAAAGTCTATCTTTTTGGAGAAATTCTACATGGTTTTAGATTCTATGAACCAATCTATAGCTAAGAATGCAACTGATGGATATTTTATGGATAAGACATTCGCAAGGATCACACAAATCCTTGACAAAATGGCAAAACATAATCAAGCTTGGCACTCACAGGACACCACAGGTGGAATTGCATATCGTGCTCCCTCCTTGACCAACATGATTAAGGAGAACAAAGAAAGAGATCAAGTAATTGCAGGGCTTGCCACCAATGTCAATGTGTTGACAAAAATGTTCACTGAAAGCCAAACGAAGAAGGTAAATGTGGTGGAAGATGTTCAACCATCCTCAAGTGAAGATTATGTGGAAGCCAACTATGTCAAAAACTCTCAAGGAGGCTATCAAAGGCAACAATACCAAGGTCAAGGACAACAAAATCAATCGAAGCCTAACCCGCAAGGGCAAGGCAACCAACAGTGGTGAAATGACCAAGGTAGTTCAAATCAAGGAAACTGGAATAACAACAACAACTTCTCAAATCGGAGTTCAAACCCTTATGTTCCACCAAAGGGTCAATATTCAAATCAAGGTTCCTCAAGTGATTCCAAGTTGGAAAGCATGCTTGAACGGGTATTGCAAAATCAAGAGAGGTCTGACACTTATATGAGGAATATGACCGAGCTTGTTAGTTCTCAAACCACATCCATTCAAAAATTGGAGATGCAATGAGAGATCTCTCTAAGGAACAAAATCCAAAGCAAAAGGGAACACTTCCTAGTGATACAATTGCGAACCCAAAGGGTAGTGGGAGTGGTCCAACTTCTCATATCATGGTGATTACTACTCGGAGTGGGAAGGTACTACAAGGAGAGAGTGAACAAATGGTTGAAGTGGAAGAATCCGAACAAGAAGTTAAGGCACAAGTTGAAGAACAAATTGTTGTTGAAGCTAAAGAGGTTCCGGAAGAGTTGAAAGTTCAAGAAGTAAACCGGGAAGAGGTAAGGGAAAAGGTAAAAGACACACCAAAAAATCTACCACCTATTCCTAGACCTCCTCCTCCTTTTTCTCAAATACTTGCTAGGAAGGTTGATGATAGCAAACTCGAAAAGTTCTATGACATTCTCAAGCAGTTATCGGTAAATATTCCATTTGTGGAAGCATTTCAAGAGATGCCAGGTTTTGCTAAGTATTTGAAAGACTTGATTACCAAGAAGAGAACCACCAAGAATGAAGTGGTGAATGTGACTCATCGGGTTAGTTCCATCATTGCAACAACCACCGTTCAAAAGAAAGAAGACCCAGGAGCTTTCACTATTCCATGCACTATTGGGGCGCGTGATTTTGCAAGAGCTCTTTGTGATAACGGGGCTAGCATCAACTTATTGCCTCTTTCTATTTACAAGCAAGTGGGGTTAGGTATGCCGAGGCCTACAAGTATGAGGTTGCAAATGGCTGATCGTTCCATAAAGAGACCGGTAGGAATTGTCGATGATGTGCTTGTGAAAGTGGGAGAGTTCCATCTACCCGCCGATTTCGTAATCCTTGATTGTGCAGTTGACAAAGAGATCCCTATCAACTTGGGGAGACCAGTCCTTGCCACAAGAAGAGCACTAATGGATTCGGAACGGAATGAGATCAAATTTCGTGTGAATGATGAAGAGGTTACCTCCCAAGCAAGCAAGGGTATGAAACTACCACATGAACATGAAAGCATCTTGGTGATTGATGTTGTTGATGAAGGGGAAGATGCAGTTGAAATGAAGATGGAAGGACAATGCCTCGGTGAGGCGTTGGCGGCTATTTTGGTAAACTTCGACGGTGAAGATATGGAGGGGTATATGGAATCGGTCAATGCATTGGAAGGGCTTGGGTCCTACACTTATGCTCCAAATAAGCTCTCTCTTGACTTGGAGAATAGAGTCATTCCTCCCGCAAAGCCTTCAATTATTGAGCCATCACAACTAGAGCTCAAACCACTCCCACCGCGCTAGAGGTATAAATTTCTTGGCTCAAATGATACTCTACCGGTAATCGTGTATTCTTTGTTGAATGATGTGCAAGTAGAACATTTGTTAAATTTCTTGAGGGAGCATAAGCAAGCTATTGGGTGGACAATTGCGGACATCCGAGGGATTCCTGCCGGAATTTGCGAACACAAGATCCAGTTGGAGAATAAGAGTAAACCAAGTGTGGAGCATCAATGAAGGTTGAACCCTTCCATGCAGGAGGTGGTAAAGAAAGAGATCATTAAGTGGTTAGAAGCCGGGGTAGTCTACCCCATTGCCGATAGTTCTTGGGTAAGTCCGGTGCAATGTGTGCCGAAAAAGGTAGGCATAACTGTGATTGAAAATGATAACAATGAGCTCATCCCAACAAGAACTGTGACCGCATGGAGGATTTGTATAAATTACCGGAAGCTAAATAGTGCTATGTGCAAGGATCATTTCCCTATGCCTTTTATTGATCAATGCTTGATCGGCTAGCAGGAAGGTCATTCTACTGCTTCCTGGATGGATATTCCGGCTACAACCAAATCAATATTGCATTGGAAGATAAGGAAATGACAGCATTCACTTATCCATATAGGACGTTTGCATTTAGCCGGATGCCATTTAGGCTATGCAATGCCCCGTCTACTTTCCAAAGGTACATGATGTCAATATTCTCTGACATGGTGGAGGATTTCTTAGAGGTATTCATGGATGATTTCTTTGTCGTAGGTGATTCTTTTTAGCACTGTCCAGCTAACCTTAGACAAGTGCTTAAGAGATGTGAAGAAACGAACCTTGTGCTAAATTGGAAGAAATGCCACTTCATGGTGGACGAGGGCATTGTTTTGGGCCACAAAATTTCCAAACAAGGTATAGAGGTTGACCTAGCGAAGATCGAGATCATTTCCAAGCTTCCTCCACCTACTTCAGTTAAAGGTGTCTAGAGATTTTTGGGGCATGTCGGCTTCTATAGGTGATTCATCAAGGACTTCTCCAAAATTGCAAATCCCATGTGCAAACTCCTTGAGAAAGATGCAAAATTTGTATTTGACGAGAAGTGCCTCAAAGCTTTTGAGGAATTGAAAGAAAAGCTCACCACGGCACCTATTATTGTCACACCCGATTGGTCTCTTCCATTCGAACTCATATGTGATGCCAGTGGTGTAGCTATTGGGGCAGTGCTTGGTCAACGTCATAACAAGATTCTTCACCCTATCTATTATGCAAGCAAGACACTCAATGGTGCTCAAATAAATTATACTGTGACTGAGCAAGAACTTCTTGCCATTGTCTATGGTTTTGAGAAATTTTGGGCTTATTTGTTGGGATCCAAGGTGATAGTATACACCGACCATGCTTCTCTTTGCTATCTTATGGCAAAGAAGGATGCAAAACCTAGGTTGATTTGGTGGGTCCTATTGTTGCAAGAGTTTGACTTCGAAGTCAAAGATCGAATAGGGACAAAATATCAAGTGGCAGATCACCTATCTAGGCTTGAAGAGGCAGTGAGACAAAAGGAAGATCTAGAAATCAATGATGTTTTCCCAGATGAACACATATTGGCATTGTCCAACACATTTGCTCCTTGGTATGCTGACATCGCTAACTTCTTGGTTAGTGACCTTATTCCCGAAGGTTTGGAAACTTATCAAAAGAAAATGGTTTTGCAGGAATATAAGCATTACTATTTGGAAGAACCCTTCTTGTTCCGTAATTGTGCCGACAACATCATCCGATGGTGTGTTATGGAAGATGAGGTAATGCCAATTCTCAAGGCATGCCATGACTCACCGGTTGGGGGTCATCAAAGAGGAAATCGGACTGCGACAAAAGTGCTTGAATGTGGCTACTATTGGCCAACAATCTACCAAGATGCAAACCAAATGGTCAAGGCATGTGACCAATGTCAAAGACAATGATCAATATCTAAAAGACATGAGAGGCCAATGAACTTTGTACTAGAGGTTGAGATCTTTGATGTGTGGGTAATAGACTCTATGGGCCCTTTCATGAGCTCATATGGCATGACTTACATCTTGGTGGCTATGGACTATGTCTCTAAATAGGTTGAGGCAATCCCCTTACCGAATAATGAATCAAAGAGTGTGACCGCATTTTTGAAGAAGAACATATTCACATGGTTTGGTACTCCAAGGGCCATCCTGAGTGATGGCGAGTCTATTTCTGTAACAAAACTTTTGTCGGGCTGCTTGAAAAATATGGTGTAAAGCACAAGGTGGCCACACCCTATCATCCTCAGTCAAGTGGTCAGGTTGAAGTTTCGAACAGAGAAATCAAAAACATCCTAGCAAAAACTATCAATGAAACAAAACCAACTGGTCAAGGAAGCTAGAAGATGCATTGTGGGCCTATCGCACAACATTCAAGACCCCCATTGGCACTTCGCCGTACAGGTTGGTTTTTGGCAAGGCTTATCACCTACCAGTGAAACTTAAACACAAAACCATGTGGGCTTTAAAGAAGCTGAATCTTGACTGGGCTGAAGCTGCTAACTTGAGGATGACACAACTCAATGAGATGGAAGAATTCCGTCTCCATGCCTGTGAGAGTGCGGCCATGTACAAAGAGAGGATAAAGTTTGTCCATGAAAAGAAGATCATGAAGCGGGAGTTCAATTCTGGTGACTTGGTCTTACTCTTCAATTCAAGACTTAAGTTATTTCCGGGTAAACTCAAATCCAAATGGTCTGGCCCATTCAAAGTTGTGAGTGTGTCTCCTTATAGTGTTATTGAACTGGAGTCGGAGGATGGGACTCGAACTTTCAAGGTGAATGGACAACGAGTCAAGCATTACCTTGATACTGTAGGAGAAAGGCATTTAATAGAGCAATTTGCTCTAAGGGATAGTCCAACAAAAACTCCCACCAAGGAATAATCTAAAAGAAATCAACTACATCGTGTCGCGACGTTAAATCAAGCGCTTCTTGGGAGTCAACCCATGTGTGGTAACACTCTTTTGTAGTTTTTTTTACTATTATTTATGTATATTAGATTGAGCAAGTTGACATGTGTGCTAGAGTGCAGGTAAAATATCATGAACATGGTCTTAGTGCTGAAGAAACTGAAGGAAAAAGAGGTCCAAATTGAGCGATAATTATGCAATCGCATAATGACTACGCGAACCGCATAGTCATCGCAGATCCAAGCAGAGTATTTGGCTAATTTCATTGTCAACTATGCGGTCACTTTTCATTTATGCGGCCCGCATGTGCACTTTGCGATCGCATCTTGCATCGCAGGTTGCATATACATGTCCCAGTCATCAGCCCACCGCATAACACCTATGCAATCGCATAATGTGTTATGCGATGAACTTCTACACCGCATAATTGCTAGGTATAAACATCCCCAACTCTCTGCACTCTTTGCACACACCCACATTTGAATGAAACAAAAAGAAGAAAAAAAATAAAGAAAAAAATGAAAAAGAAGAAAAAGGCTGCTAAGACGAACCAGGGAAAGAATCCAAACACACTCACCACTTTTCTCATTTCCATTGTAGAATCCTCGAGTTTCAGGTATGATTTTCGATTTCTCTCCTCTTTTCTTCACTCTTATTTTTCTTTCTTGATTCTACCCCTTTGTGAATACAACCTACTTCAAATGCCATGAATATCTGAAAGTATGTGCTTGAAGAGGGTCAAATTGGTTTAAATTGTTGACTGGCATAAAAGTGGATTATGTGCTTTTGATTTTAGTTGGTGAGGAGTGAATGGAGGGAGTGTTTGTGTGTTTTTGGGCCAAGAACCAAAGAGGGGAAATTCTGAGTACCCCCCTCTCTCTTTATCTTGTGACTAAATCGCAGTGGATTTAGGTTTTTAAATGAATGGAAAAGAATTGGGGGAGAGTATAAATTTTCCCGAAGAAGATGACTTCTGCGGGCCGCATAATTGCTTCGCGGCCCGCATAATCATCGCATTTGGTACCAATTTTTCCCTAGATAGAATAGGTTATACGATTGCCTTTGCGATCGCATACCTATTATGTGGTCCGCAAATGTGCCGCATACTGAGGCAGTCCCTCAGGCTTTCTAGCCCCCATTATGCGGTCGTTATAGGATCGTATAACCACTTATGCGGTGGTTTTGTGATCGCATAACTTCTAATGCCTTTTTGCTCATGCACATATGTGATATTTCTTCGATTCTCATACTTGATATGCGACCACATAACCCATCGCATAGTAAAAAAATTATTTTGTTTTGTTCTTTTTTCTTTTATATCTGATGTCTTTCCCTAAGCTCTTTCACTCACTCCTACAATGTTTCATCAACAGATATGGCACCAAAGAGGTCTAATCCAACACGATCATCGCCCGGTGGTCGACAAAAACGGGCTACCAATCCTAGCCAACAAGCACAACAAGCAAAAAGGTAGCGATCTCAGGCACTCCGCATTACTATTGAGCACTCCTCCCAGTCTAAAGAGGAGGAGTCACAGAGTGACCTCAGACCTACTGTTTATTTACAAGCAGAGGCATAGAGGAAGCTGGGGGAGGACCTTAACCTCTAGTTTGGGGTCAAGGGCTCCATAGATATGTACAAAGCAGCGCTTTCAAAGAGGAACATTCTACAGGAAAAGCAATTGAGCTTGAATGAGCTACCGGAGCATTACTCTCACATCCTTGAAAACATCAAACAGAGGAAGTGGGAGTTCTTCACTGAAGTCTCAGATGAATACAATGAGACAATTGTGAGGGAATTTTATGCTTCATATGGTGCCTCGAGGAGTGCTTCACAGAAGCGCAACAGGATCTTTTCCAAGTATGTTCGAGTGCGAGGGGTTGAAGTTTGTTATGGTCCTGAGACGATCAATGAACAGTACCTCAAGGATTGACAGCTAGGAACAGCTGAATATGATACCAAGGTAGCCAATAAGCACAATGAGCATGCCTGAGATGCCTCGGTAATAGCAAAGGGGACACCGACCAAGATTGACCCGCAACACAAAATTTTCAAGGAAGATCTCACAATGGAGGGTCGCTACTGGCTTAGCTTTGTTACATCCCGTCTAATGCCGTCCAGAAATGAAACCGACATAAACATTGAGAAAGAACTTCTCATTGCGTGCATCATGATAGGGATCAAGATTGATGTGGGGGAGATAATTTTCCAAAAGATAGGAATCAGAGCCAATCAGAAATAGACAACCCTTCCTTTACCCTGCCTGATCACTGCTCTTTGCCAAGCTGCAAGTCTCTGCCTAGGCATGACAAAATGGAGAATGCTACCAAAGACATTGACATCATGAGAATCAGTGACTCATTAGCAAAGGAAACTGCAGCTCAGGTTGAGACTCTCATTCCTCATCTTGCAGATATAGCAGTATTAGAGAGTCCAGCACTGCCGGACACCTCACAAGCCCCAGCTACCTCTGTAGTTACTCCACATCCCTCTACTACACAGTCCCAAGTTCCATTGCCAGCTCTGTCCAAGCTAGGTCTACTTGCTCAGCATGTCAATGCTAAGGTGGACCGTCTTATCAAGGAAATTCCGAACCTCATCTGACAGGATTTGACCCCTATCCACTCCTCCATGATTGGTTTTTAGCAGCAATATCAGACTTATGAGGATCGCCTCAAGAGCGTTGAAGCACATCTTGAGAAGGTTGAGCGAGGTGAAGTTGGAGGTATGCCTCAGCTCGGGACAGATATGACTGACTTGAAAGCTGAGCTACAGAAGATGCAGAATTTAGAAGTTGATTTGACTGCCTTTCGCCCGAAGGATGGAGAGCAGGGTGCTAATACTTCTATCCTAGGCATAGATATTGACTTCACAACATTGATGACAGCCCCAGAAGCACAACATGTTGAGGCCTCCAAGGCTCAGTCTCCTCCTGCTCACATTGATGTTCCTTCAGATGAGGAATCTGGAGATACTGAAGAGTTCGATAAGGGGGAGATAGGAGATGAGGAGACAGATGAAGAGGCACTAGGTGAGGATACTGAGGGACATCCAGGAAAAGGTAAACATGTTATTGTCTCTACAAGGGCATAGGATGAAGAAAAAGCAGCTGTGTAGACAACAATTGCACATTCGCTAGCAGATCTGGTCAATAAGTCACATCCATCGACCACTTAGCCATCACCGAGCGAGGCTAGCAGCTCTCAGGCCCCAGCTCCAGCCTCACAGCAGGTGAAACTTCCTGCTCTACCCTCCTAGTAGTTGGAGCCTATTGTTCTATCCACGACGGATACTACTCAGTCCTAGGTCTCACCGGCTGCAGCTTCACTACCAGCAGCCGCTCCCGTAGATGTCCCAGATCCTTAAGCTCCCCCGAGCACCTAGTGTGCCCCAAGGAGTCCCTGATCTTTCTTTTTGCTTTATATATGCATTGGGGAAAATGCATGATCTTTGGTTGGGGGTGGGGTAGTTATGATCATAATCTTATCCCCATGTTTTGTGGAAATATTTGATTGTACCCCATGTTTATATATAAAACTCTTGTAGTTTAGCTTGTTGTATCCCATGTTTGTATAATAAACTCTTGTAGTTTAGCAATGAATTCCCTTTGGTTTTTCTTTGCTGGGTTCTTTTCCAAAGGTGTAATAGTGGAACCACGGCAGTAGCATGAAATGTTTTGGCTTATTTGGTGTGGACTGTGTAGCTCCAAGCATGTGCCAAGTGTTGTAAATATATGATATCCTTCCTTCTTTTGAAAAAAAAAACAATGTGTTAGTTTGTCATTCTGGTGAATTTGAGGCTCGCTCTTTGACTCTATGCTTATTCAGAATCTTACACATTTTGAGATGAAAGTGTTGAGTTGCCTTGTGTCTCTTGAGGGCTGAAACTATGTTGAGTTGAACAATTCATGTGTTGTGAGTGAGTGACGATTTGTATGAATAATGCACATGTCTAACTTGTGATGTATAGAACTTGCCCGATTGGTTTGTTAGTGCGACTATCATATTAATGATTGGATGTTGAAATGATCTTAGGCTCTCCTTGTGATTACTAGCCAGTTTTGCCTAAATTGACCTCTCTGGTACGTTAATTACCCTAGTTACCCCCTTTGAGCCTTTAACCTTTCATTGGCTACCACATTACAAACCTTTACCCCTTCTGTGAAGTAATTCATTCTTTTGAACGCATCCCTCCTTGAATGTGTGAGATTGAGGCTTAAAGCCTAAGTTCGGGGTGCGTTATAAAGTGGAAATGGGCAAGGTTTGCTACTGTGTGTATAATAAAAAAAACAATAACCTCAAAGTTGTGTATATAACGAAATGCAAGCTCCAAGAAAAGATATGGAAGAAAAAGAGAAAAAGAGTGGAGTCTTGTAGAACTTGAAGAAATACTTTGAGGTGGTTCTAGGTCAGTAACCCGAGGTAAATAAGGGTTGTGTAGTAAAAGAGCATAATGTATGTAGAGTTCAAGGAGGATATAACCACTACATTCCAAAATATTCATCCAACCCGTCCCAAAGCCTACATTATAACCCGTGAAAAGTCCTTAGTGATCTACGGTTAATCATTCCTGAGATAGCGGCAAAGCTAAAATAAGGGCAAGCATATGGACTGATACTTGTAGCATGTAGCTTTCGTTCCGAGTGTTAGAGTGTTTTGATTGCATCCCTTGTATATATGTGTGAGTGGGGATTTTCTTTGTTGTGAGTGCGCATGAATTGTAATACTTAGCAGAAGATAGGTTCTTGAAGTAGAACACAAGTGCACTTCACTATGAATAGCATTTTGTCATTTTGGTCAAGGCTCTAAGGTCACGAATTGATTAGTCGAATGCTTGAATGATAAGTTGTTTTTCAGGAAGGGTAAATAAATGGGGTTACATGATTGTTAGCTATCAGTCAAAACCATCTATAGTCACTACTGTTTTATGGAATGTGATAAATAAAAGTAGTATAAAGTAAGATAGATTTGTTT